CCGGTTATGGAAGCGATCCTCGTTGCATGGGGGTACTAAAACAGCCCCAAGAAGCTCCACTGCGTTATTTTTTTAAGCCCAAAGCTTTAAAGAACTAGAAGAGAGACCCTGTAGTGGTGATGCTTGTTTTTGCTAAGCAGTGAGTATTTTCTGGAGTTTTGGGGAAAGATTGGGGAAGGAAAGGAAGTTTTCATAGTGGTTTCAACAGTCTTAATTTGTATCACCTGGAGAATAATGTAGTTTACCCATAAAAATGAGTAGCTTTCGAAGACTGAAGCACAGATCAACGGAAGTGTGACATGAAGCCCTGAATTGGAAAAACAAACAAAAACACCACCCCCAAGACAGGCAAACACCCCGTTGTCATTTTTAGTATATTCAAACCAAATAAAAGCTGTAGGACTGTGAGAACATCCCTCATTTGCTTCTCTGTGACTTAACATCGCCTTGGTACTGCTAACGTGGCAGTGGCAGCAGACGCGCTGGTGGCGTTATCAGGCAGAGGCAGAGAGCACAGGTCTCTCCTACTGAAAACAGACCCCGAGGCTCACAATTGCTTTTTAAATCCTTTTCCTCCTCTCATCTTTTGCTACAAGCAAGCATCAAAACTGCTTTGAAAAGATCTGAAAGTTTCTGCAGACTGTCAGCCTTGCTGGGGGCAGAGGTCTGGCTGCTGAAATGATGCCTCTGCAGCCCTCAGTAAAAATTCTGATCGTGAGAGGTTAATCCTTCTTACGCCAGTCTTACCAGGGACCATCCAGTGTATCTGGCCAAAGGCCTCAAAGCAAATTTGCTGTGCCTTTGTCAATCAGGTGACATGAGGACCCAGAACATACCATTAATGCTTTACTATAGATGGAATCCTTCACAAGATCTCATCCCCTCAGTGGAAGATGACCAGGGGGATTTATTGCTGTAATTCCAGATGAAGCAATGCCTTTGTTTTGGGCAATTAACGCTGACAACAATTTATCAGATCAGAGACACTCATTAAAAATAAAATAGCTCAACTGCAAGCCTGTCTCCTCCCATTCTGTCCCTCTGCACTAATTGTCCTCCTAAGGCTGACTCCCTGTGCTAGACACGGGGAATTTCACAGGTCCCAGGCAGCCCGATTGCATTAGCACCAACAATGGGCACTTGGGATTTGCTGCAGCTACAAGATCAGCTGCTGACGAGGTGAGAGCAGCTCTGGCAGAGTACTTCATCCTTCTGCAGGAACACAGGGCTGGATTTAGAAGCTCAAACTAGCTTGTTCTGTAATGAGGCTTTTTTTCATCCTGAGTTTCTGCATAGAGATGAATCAAGGCTGTACACAGAGCACATGCACCTCTCAACAGCAGGTCTTTTAAAATCACCCAGCAAATACCAGTAAACCACACCACAGCCTGTGTAAACATGTTGGTATTTGCTAAATTGATGAAGTCAGCAGCATAGAGACACAAAGCTCTTCAGCAGCTGGAGTAAGTGCAAGTCTATGGCTGGGTTTATGGGTGCTCATCACAGCACAGAAAGCAGTGCTATCAAGCCAGCAGGTGCCAGGACACTGTTTCTCACTCATGCCCTAATATAATCAAAGTAGAACTAGTGTGCATTTTCCAGTTGATGTTTTTGGTCTCTACCTTCTGTGAAATAATTCCCAAGTAATAAATTGATGCAAATCAAACCCAAGTCAAGGAATGGGTCTGCAGACAGGGTACAATCACCCAACACAAGCAATTTCTGACCGGGCATTGCTGCAAGCCAGCCTTCGTCCCCTCATTTGGAGCCACCTAAATGGAGGACAACACAGGGATGTAAACACCACAGACTTGATGGACAGAGGAGGTAAAGCTATGGGAGCTGTAAAGATGTCACCAGAAAAGCCCTGCTGGGCAGTCACACTTTCCAGATTTAGCAAGAAACTCTGGGGGTTTGTTTCTGTGGCTTACAGGAGTATTCACGTACAAGACTGCACCTGCAGTATGCTGGCCAGCTCTAGCAGAACTTGCTCTGAACTCGATCTGAACTATTTTTCATAGTGGTCCACTGTTTGAAAGACTGTAAGTTGGAACTAATCAGTACAAAGTATTTAATGGAAATGAAAAGTTTACGTCTCTGCATTTCTCAATGTCTGTTGAAGGTGTTGAAAGTAAACATATAGACCATGAGGAAGAAATGCCAAGAGTTAACACAAAGATAGGATTTTATAAATTAAATGACCTTTATTTGTAACTTGTCTTCAAAAATCAAAAACATGACAAAGTAATTTATCAGAAACTTCTAACTGCTCCTTAAACATTTTATCAGAATTGCATGGAAGTGCACTTAGAACAGTAGCAGAAATCTAGATTTCGGTCAATGGGTATCACCAAACTCTGTTCTAGCCAGAACCCAGAAATCCCCATCCAACCACACCTTGTAATCTCTTTGCAGATCAAGCATTAAAAATAACCACCCCCAAACACTGTACTTTTTCCACAGTACCATGAGATTCTCTCCCCCCAACCCCCACCCGCCACGACTGAGCTTCCAGTCACCAAGCAGATACTTAAGGATGTGTCTATAATAGCCCATAGCAAGTTGGGGAAAACATACTAAAACCGAGTTCAACTTAAATATGTTAGAGGTCTGGCTGGACACAAAGTTTAATCAAGAGGTTTTAGCTGGGGTGTGTTTCATTGTCTTCAGGGTAAGGCTACGCTGCAGTCTGCAGAGTGCCATGATAATAAGTTTACTGGTCAAATAAATTAATTAGTGGTGCAGGTCCACTGCTCCGAATAAACATGCTTAAATTAGACTAGACATCTCAACACTACGGCGATTTACAAGTTCTGAAGAGGTGCCCTGGATTGTTAGATCTCAGCATCCTGACTGTGCAGTTAATGAAAACGTTAAACTAAAAAGGAAACTCTGTAGTAAAACATAGACTTGAATACAGAGTATCCATTTAACATGTACTGGAATTGTCACCCTGCTTTCGGGGTTATATTTGACTTTTTATTTGAAAGCTGTACCTGCATACTATACATACAATATCACATGGAAAACAATCTAAGTACAGCTTCAGCAATATTTAAATGAGGAACAGGAATTCAAAATACCTGCTAAAATCTGTAATGCAGAAAGGTAGTGCTATGCAAGTGCTATGAATTACTCTTAAGTTTTGCTACCAGCTTGTCTTGAGAGATGGAAAAACTAGGAATATATATGAAAATTATAGTTTAAATAAAAAGCAGAGGTATTGAAAAAAACCTTCTGAACTCCCCTCTCAGCATAAGGCTTAAAATCACTAGAAAACCAGTTTCAAAACCACAAATTTAATTACAAAGCCAGCAAATATGATTAATATTTGCTAAGACAATTAAAAAATTATGCATTTTAACTAAGATCAATATTGAAGTTTATTTTCCAGGCTAGAAATTATGGCCAAAGTATGGAAGAAAGTAATAATCATGCATAGAGCTAAACTATTTTGAACTAGTTACTTACACAGGTGCAAAGATTTGCTAAGAAACTTTGTAGTTTGAAGACTCATACTGAAGACGTTTTCCATATAGTTGAGAGGCTGCGTATAAGAATTCAAACACTGGGAAACATTAAGAAATCACAGGCATCATAGGTCACTTCAAATGAGAGCTGGTCTGACAATTACAGTTAGCACCTAGAGGCCTCACTAAAGGAAAACAGAGCTACAAATACACCTCTCCTACTATAATTTAAGATATGCAGATAAGGTTGGGAAGAGACATTTATTAACTAGTTCAGGCCATTCCATTCGGAATGTTTTTGGTTTTAGACAGTCAAATGAACACAACTGCAAAAGAAACTATGACATAGCCATAGGTAAAGGAAAAGAGATTGTTCTCCTCCCTGTTGACCTACAATTAAGCTTTGTGTGAAGCAAGTAAGAAAATTAGGCTGACAGGGTTAAATGGCATAGACCACATTAACAGAAGACTGAGTGGTACCGAAATATCAAACCAGGATTTGAGACTGAGATGGGAATTAAAAATTCTTCCGTACTTCTGGAAGCCTGAGTTAATCTTGGGATGTCCAGAGAGAAGGCGGCGATGCTGGGCATCTCCCCCTCATGGAAGCTTGGCTTTACAGTTAATCTTCTCATTGGTTCATTTATCCCGCAAAGAACGCATCAAAACCTGTGCCATCATATCATCTTCATCAGCATCATAATCCTATGAATAAAGGGTACAGAAATTCTTTTACTGCAACAGCCACGCTGGTTAATACAACACCAAATAAGAACAGAAAAAGAGCTGTCTCTTCCTTTGACTTGCCATTAATCCAATTTCTCTCATCATACCATCTGCATGGATGAGATTTCACAGTAGTGGTATCATGGTTTAACCCTAGATGGAACTAAGCACAACACAACTGCTTGTTCACTCCCCCCCCCCAGTGAGATGGGGGAGAGAAACGGAGAAAAAAAAAAAAGACAGAAAACTCGTGGTTGGAGAACACTTCAATACTTGAAATACTATTAAATGCTAATAAAAAATTGTAACAACAAGGAAAACAATGAAAAAGTAATGGACCTGCTCACAACCCGCTGACTAACGCCCAGCCAGTCCTGAGCAGCAATTGCCCTGGCCAAGTCCCTAGCATGGTATGGAATGAACTTTGGCCAATTTGGGTCAGCTGTCCTGGCTGTGTCTCCTCCCAGCTTCTTGTAGAGAAGAAGCTGGGAGGGCAGGGGCAGTATGAGAAGCTGAAAAAGTCCTTGGCTTAATATAAGCATTGCTTGGCAACAACTATAACATCAGCGTGTTATCAGCATTATTCTCAGCACAAACCCAAAACATAGCCTTGTACTAGCTGCTATGAAGGAAATTAACTCTATCCCAGCCAAAACCAGTGTAAGTGGCTATGTACAAAAGCTGGGTTTTCAGAGTCGTCAGGCTGTATTCCAAGGGTGAGGAAAGACATACCACAAAAGTATCATACGAAAAGCGATGTCGCCTTTGAAGGTGCTCCATGAAGTTAGCACTCCTGTAATTTGGATCTCCCCATGGCATCGAGGCACAAATTGGGCAAACCTTCAAGAAAAACCCGAAGAAGCCAGTTAAGCCCCAATGGTTAAGTGCTTTAGAGTAGGAAGAGCAGGACAGAGATAGCATGGAAGATTGAAGTTAGAAGTTTGTGACAGTCATTACTCTATGCAAATTGATGCAAATTAGTTTGCCAGGACATTTAACACAAAAGCTTCAGATAACCCCAAATAATTTTAATTCAAGTCTTAGACCTCTGAACTGGAAGGGCTTACTTTTCTCTCTACATTCTGGAAATCAGAATTGACTAGAGCTGCTTGCTTTAGAATATTTCAGCCTTTATTTCTCAGCAACAGAAATTTCCTTGATCTCCTTTGCAAAGATCACTTCTCTCCAAGGGAAAAAAAAGGAAATTTTCCTATCCTAAATAACTTGGAATTCCAAAAAACTTTCCAGAAAAATGAGTTTCAAATTCAGTTCCATGTTTTGCAATTCCTTTTACATGAGACAGAAGTATCAGCAGATAAAGATTACTAGAATGATACACTATTTTTTCCAAGCATTCTTCCCAATGGCTTATATTATCATCTTTCTGAAAACAGCAGAGGGGAAAATTAAATGCCTGACATTTTTTGGACTTATATCTTATTAAGTTTGTTACCGTGCCTAATTAACTTTGAATGTCTGCAAATTTTAAAATATGAAAAGAGGATGTGACGTAGCTGCAGTAGGAACAGAGACACCCCCAGAGAATGTATAGAAAACAACACCAAAATTATGTAAAAGTTAAATGCATGAACAGCATACCGACATCTGACTCTAACAGGAGTAATTATAAATACGCACTTAACTTCAAGAGTAAGTCTCTAATTAATTGTTTCAAATGGATTTAAGACTAGACTTCACTGCAATTCTTGCACCAAGACTTTTTATTACCACTTGTTTTGCATCCATGCTGTGCAATGTTTTGCAGTGTTCAACTAGCCCTTCTTGATCAAAGTTTTTCTCGTTGCAATACGGACAAGGAAAGGTAAAGCGATTTGGGAAGCTCCTGGTTGGAAGAGAAAAAGAGGTTACTTATCATTGTAAGAAAGTTAACAGTAAAAGCTTTAGGATTCAATACGCGAAAGTTGTCTTACCAGCTCTTAATAATACAAATAATTTAAAGCAATAGTCTTAGTCTATGCAATAAAGATGAGCTAATTTTAAGAACCAGCTTCTTAATTCCCAACGATAGCTTAAGGATCTCTTGATATCATCCATATTTAGACAGAATGAGAGCTCTTCTACAAACATTGTAAGTGACATACTTTTTTTAAATGCACAGGGTACCACCCAGTGTGCTACAATGCAGCCGAGTGTGCTGCAATCAATTCCGACTTCCCTTCACTATAAGTTACTACAATCAAGAGAAGGAAAGAAAAAGCTTTTATTTAAAAAATAGCTACTTCTACTGAGTACTGTGATCTTTAAGATGTCTGGGGCATGGACTATGCAGAGAGCAGAACAGCTTGCCTGTGCACAGTCACATGCAGGATTAAGGCTTAGTTTTTAACAATGTGAAAGGATTAAAACCATTAATACTCGAACTGAGCAAAGAAGTAAAGTCTGCTTTTACTCCAAAACTCCACAGTTTGCATGAAACCCCATAAAGCAATTAATTTTTTTAAAGATAAAAGAACTCTTCAAAGAAGAATCAAAATGGAGATTTTATAATAATTAATCGGCAATAGTCCTGGTTTAATAACAAAAAGAAGACATGTATTTCCAGAGAAGAACTAGTTACCTGGTGTTGTGAAGTGGTTCTTTAGTTACAGCTTTCACACCTTCCATTATATAATTCTGGTACTTTGAACAAGAAGCTGCATGGCTACGCATCTTTGAGAGATACATCTGTGCAGGCAACAATTGCATAGCAAGGTTAATTTAAACTATTTGCAGTCACTTCTACACTTTTAAGTGGAAAGAATAAACATGTAAAAAAAGCAGCTTTCTGCAGACAGTGTTAAAGCAAGAAAATCAAAACACTTCAGCTGGCAAGGTGGAAAGCTTTAAGATTATAGATTAGTTAACCTGTAACTTTGCTGCCTGTAGTATTTTACAAAGGCAACACTCTTCAGGACAGGTCACTTTTCTTAACCTTACTATAGTATAAAAAAAATGCTTCATATAAAGCCAATTTACCTGGTCACTGAAGTGAAGAGACAACACATGGAAAATAATTTGGCTTTTAGGACAGATCTTGGTGTAGATTGATTGCTAATTGTTCAATCCCATTAATGAAAATTCAAATAAGGAAATCTGTAATTCAAGGCACTACAGTTTTCTACCAGCTGGAATGAAGACATTACCCAGAAATAAAAAGTGAAGACAACTGAACCGTTACCCTCAACTTAGTGTGTTTAATTATCCTTTTCTTGTTGTTTTGCCATCTACTAAGATATTTTCTTATACTTTCAATTAATGCTAAGAAGCCCAACTTTAAAAAGAGAAAGGAAATGACAGGAACGATGCCATACCGGTATTCAACATGCAGGGCATTAACAAACAATAAGTCTATGGAATACACCACCCACACAGGACAACTTTGACTCACAACTATTTCAAACAAATCAAATAAATTTGTTTAAAAGCCAAAGAGATCACTATGTAAACCCCATATCCACTGTTTCATCATTCCTCCCACAGAGGCAAGCTCACAGAAGCAACTTCAGAAGCAGTATTTTACTATAAATTTAAAACCAGTGTCTTTCATTTGATATTTCATTCCTGAAGAGGTTAACAATAAAAAATTGTGGAAAAAATGTCAACATCTGGGTGCCACCTGTATAAAACATCTTTAGTACTTATAAGAACAAACATTTTCACCCAATTCTGCAGAAAGCCAAAGAGCAAGCACTTTATTTCCCTCTAAGCAGTACAGCCAAGCAGGCACAACTCATGCACTTAGTTTCCAAATACTTTCATACTTTTTTATTGCAGCCATTACAAGTGGTTTCTGTTGTTTCTATTTGCTTTTCCAAGTCCAGAGCCCTGCTACCAGGTGAAAGCGTACTGCGGCAGACACCGCAAACTGGCTTTTTTGGCTTAAGACATTCCTGCAGACACGGAGTGCAAAAGCTAGGGTGAGAGAAAAACAGTCAGTGGTGAGAACAGCCGTCCTGGACATGCAGCATAAATAGCCAGAGTTACAGAATCACAGAATGGTTTGGGTTGGAAGGGACCTTAAAGATCATCCAGTCCCACCCCCTGCCATGGGCAGGGACACCCTCCACTATCCCAGGTTGCTCAAAGCCTCATCCAGCCTGGCCTTGAACCCCTCCAGGGATGGGGCATCCACAGCTTCTCTGGGCAACCTGGGCCACTGCCTCACCCCCCGCGCAGTAGGAGTCCTCCTGTTCTCCTGTCCTAAGTGATAACAGGGGCTCAGGAAACGGTATGTCACGAAACAGCTGCCGGCTGGCACCTGTCCCTGAAGGAAGGAGCAGGCTCCCAGGTCGCTATGCCCAGTGTCATCAGCTTTTGGACTCTGCTCCTGCAGCTTTCTCCTCTTTCAGGAAAAAAATAATCGAAAGTGAAACGATACCAGCTTTTTCTCCCTGGGGAGTTTTGTTTTCCTTTCTCGGAAGCCCCCCCCTAAGGCG